CTCTTATCCATTTTGCATCCTGAGAAACACCTATGCAGTATTTATTCAGAGCAAATAGCAAGTAAAATTATAATTTCAATAAATCACTTAGTGTACCTGATCCTAAAGGGATTCCCCAAATCTTTCGGAACAGAGCTGACGTAAATGAAATATGTTCATCGAATGATATGTTTAGAGCTTTGGCAAACTCATCACCAAATTTTGTAACATTAGGAGGTACGTCGATATAAATCACTCCACGACCGACTTCCTTCGCTGCTTGACAAACAATGGTCGATTTACCCACACCATGTGATCCTGAAACAACCTGGTAAAAGTTAGATCCATATTGCGGTGTAAGCATGGTTTTGATTCTATTAACAATTTCTTCACGGGAAATGAATTTATCAGGATGTGGAAATTCTGGTAAAGTGTTTGTTGAGCCAGTCACGAAAGTATTGAAGAGGACATGATCGCTATAGCGTTTGCGACACTCAGCGATAATAAGATCCATAGAAATAAGTGAAATACCCCCCAGGATGATTTTATTCATCTGAAAATATAAGAATGAATTATACTATATACTAATACTAAAAAAGGATTTCTTGCAGTATAAGTGACACCTATTCTAAATCAATTGATTAATAATACGTTTTATTAATTGTTCCAACTATACTGCAAGAAATCCCTAAAAAAAAAGGAAAATCTGTACAGTTTGGCGTTTTACTAATACGAATGTATTTTCAATCGACTTATTTGAAGGTTTTCGATTGGTCAAAATACAGCATGGGGGACTTTCTCACTTTTCGGAAAAAACATGGGATTATCATAAGATAATTGACTAATCAGAAACCAACTTTATCAACAGGTGATATTATTTTTGTCAAAACAGATAGGAATTTAAAATCCTGAGGGTAACTACCCTTGGCACAACTACCATGGCATACGGTACATTTGCCGTATAAGTAGAATTGTCATATACCGTATAAATATCATGTGCCGAACAAATGACCATATGACGCACTAATGCCATATGCCGTATAAGTGTCGTATGTCGTAATATGGACCTGTTTGCATATATATTTATATCGATATCAAGCATTCATATAAACTTTTATTGCGCTTTTCAAATTACTGTGATCAGCAAATTTCACGTATCACACTGAGAATCAGAAATCTAAAATAAATGCAAATCTGTGATTGGTCGAAAATAATTTTTAGCCAATCACAGATTTGCATTTATTTTAGATTTCAGTTTCCCAGCGTGATACGTGGAACTTGCTGATAACAGTAATTTGAAAAACGCAATAATTTAAAAACTAGCAATATAGCCATGGGAGGAAGATTTTTACGGGAAATTTCAATATTATGGACTAATTCTATAGTAATGTTATTAGCTACCGTAAGCATTTTTTTACTTAGACTCAGCTGATCACAATCTTGATGTATTCTGACTCAGAAATTTGGAATCTTCACGTATAAATCGTGGGAGGTAACGTTTAGTTTGGGTTAAGGTAGTGCATGTCATATGGAAAATTACTTTCTCGACATTGTTTATTAGTGCGCCAATATAGGTTTTGAGATTAGTTTTCTTGTATTCTTTTGTTTTTTCGCTTTTTTTCTTTTTTGTTCGCTTTGCTGATCCGTGTTGATCTCACGTGATTACACAACGTTTTAAAACTCAGAAAATCCGTAGACATTCTTAGGCCAAACCAAGTTGATTCTCTGTTTAACATAACATAAAATGATTTGTAAGAGGGGTGGGGAATTAAGAAAATACACACAATAACATTATATACAAATTAATACTGCAATCTTATTGGTTAATTTGATGTGTATTGATCTATATAGATTTTGAAAAATAGAAGGGGTTATTTAATATTA